AAGATACTGAAGTCGGAGTAACAATTTGCCTAAGTTGCGTGTGTCGGAGTGACATTTGTCTACGATACTGAAGTCGGAGTAACAATTTGCCTAAGTTGCGTGTGTCGGAGTGACATTTGTCTACGATACTGAAGTCGGAGTAACAATTTGCCTAAGTTGCGTGTGTCGGAGTGACATTTGTCTACGATACTGAAGTCGGAGTAACAATTTGCCTATGTTGCGTGTGTCGGAGTGACATTTGTCTACGATACTGAAGTCGGAGTAACAATTTGCCTATGTTGCGTGTGTCGGAGTGACATTTGTCTAAGATACTGAAGTCGGAGTAACAATTTGCCTAAGTTGCGTGTGTCGGAGTGACATTTGTCTAAGATACTGAAGTCGGAGTAACAATTTGCCTAAGTTGCGTGTGTCGGAGTGACATTTGTCTAAGATACTGAAGTCGGAGTAACAATTTGCCTAATTTGCGTGTGTCGGAGTGACATTTGTCTAAGATACTGAAGTCGGAGTAACAATTTGCCTAAGTTGCGTGTGTCGGAGTGACATTTCGTATAAGTTGCGAATGTCTTAGTAGTGACCACTGACCAAGGTCGTGCCAGGCAGATGGTCACATGACTGGTCGGAGGAGGTGAGGGGGGAGGGGGCAGGTGATAGTGAAGGATATGCGGGTAAAGTGCGCTGTACTTGGACCCGTATAATAGGTACGTGACGTGTTGTGAGCGCCGGGTGTAGGCATTGGCGAAATGTCAATTACTATGGGATACTCGCAATACTATAATACTCGAATATCACCTTACAACTCTGGATACAAAATGATGAACAACTGAAATAGTAACATAATTCTCACTGAGGTTTAGATGTAAACACGTGACACACCACACTCGGTAAATCTAAACAAATTGGTTGAGAACATTTCGCAGTTAAAATTATTGCATAAGTATACACCGCAAACTCGTCAGTTTAACTACTTTCCAATGAACTGAGCAATAATATGCTCGTGCAAAACCAAACATTCTGTAAGAAAAAAACAAAACAAAAAAGTAGACCAAGCATATTAATTAAATTTTCAATTCCTCGTCCCAAATTTAACAGGTGATTCCAAAAGCCTTCTAGAAACTGAAACTGAAATTTTCAATCCTATTTACGGTTATTATCATGAACAATTGGTATTTTATTGCACTTGGAAGCTTATAGCGCAGCCAGAAAGTTAAGTTACTAATGCAGAACATTTTATCATCAGTGTTAGGTTATCTGATGAACTAGTCATGGTTAGGCTAATTATCTTTTCCTGTATGTTACCTTGAAACCTATGTGATGTATTTGGGAAACGGCGTTACTTTTACCTTACTATTACACTCTGTCCCTAGAATGCTTTCAGTAGGCAAGCACTGTTAAGAATATACTTCTTATGAGCTTATGAGTCACTTCTATAACACGTAATTATTATGACACAATTCTTAAATTGTTATTTGAAATTAATTGTGTTGTCTATTAAAAGGTAGAGTTTCAGCGGTTCGATAGTAGAAGGCCAGAATTAGGACCGTTACCATAAAAATATATGCCAATGGCGACCAACCACACAAAATGGCAAAATTAGCACAAATTCAAAGTGAACCAACATTAAGTTATTTCGATGAAAAGTCAAAGATGCCATTTGATATTTGGCTACCAATGAATGAAGCTATCTATCAAAAGGTAAAAGTTACATAGTAACACAACCTTGGTTTGTATAGTTCCTTCACAAAAAAACTAAAAAGCAGATTACACCCACGTAAAAATACAGAAATTCAAAGTTCAAAGGGAACCATCATAAAGTGATTCCAACGTAGGTAGGGAAGGGGTTTATGAGCAGCTGCAAATTTGTTGTAAGTTGGTTTAAAAGTTCAACTTGGCTGTTAACATTTACAGACCTGCTTCTGCATTTACAGCGGCAGCCTTATCGTGGTCCGGATATTCAGAAGAAAACTTTAATGCAAGATTAAAACAAAAACAAAAATGTTTATAGTTGGTAATTTATGGAAACCCCCCCTCTCATTGCATGAACACTGTTTAAAAATCAAACATCGAACTATGTTAAATAAAGGCTCTTTGAGCAATGCGTTGAACTTAAATTATCTTCAGAACTTAAGATATAATTTTAATCATACTTTAGGCGTAGCATAACCTATATTTCTATGAGTTAACTAAGTAATTTCGAATTAAAAATATGTTATGGTCCAGATGAAGCAGTTATTTATTCAGAATCAGTATTAAAGAAGATATTTTAATTTGTAACAATTTTAAGACAGACTTACAATTAAATTTAAGCTTATTTTTATAAGTTGAGTTTTCCGATATCCCAAATTGAGGTATTATTAGGAATGCATGACGAAACCTCTGTAAAAGAAACTCTTTGCTATAATAGCGAAATAAAATAAGTACAAACCATTTCAGTTAAACGATGAGTGTTTGGACTTAAATATGAAAAAATGCTTTTGTAATGAGAATTGGCTGTATATTATATGACACTCACTAAAATTTCTGTTCATACTTTTGGTCACCGACCGGTATATTCTGACGTTTGTAAAAGTTCAATAAAATTAATTTCTTTATCTTTAGAAAAGGAAACGAGTGTAACATATCGAGGTCTCGTTGGGTCCAAAACACCTCCAACAACGGAATGTCGGCTAATCGGCCAATCCTGGACCATCTCCAACCTTTCGTTAAACTTTTTTAAGGGACTGAAATCCTTCACAACATTAACAACAACAAATTGCTCAATCGTTTCATATAGTGTTTGTTTGGAATACAAATTTTATGAGATCTGCTATATTGTTGTATCTTCTGAGAACATTATCCCATACGTATAACATGTAACAATACTTTTGGTGCCATGAGATTAAACACATAGAACTAATACTCCAATGCAGTACTTTCAGAGAAGGTGCATATGTAAGTCAACTAAAAACAGTATTGATTGCGGATTGTTAGCATAATTTAAAGTCCTTTAAATGTACAAGTCCTTTTGATTTACAAGTCAATGATTCCCGCAATTTAAAGCCCATTTCTTCAAATAGGAAACAACACACCTTGTAAACACATTTCATTCTCTAAATTCTTCAATAAATGTATTAGTTTAAAATGCTTCACTGACGAAACATATTTACTTTGAAAAATACTCAAACTAACACTTTCCCAGACATACAACAAGCCTACAATAAAAGCAAACCTCTGACCCTATAAACACGATGATTAGCATCTGTCAAGCAATTAGTCGTAGAATTACAGTCGCCCGCGTCAACCGGTGGAGGGGGGCGGTCAAGGACTTTTGGCGGGAAAACCACGTGAAGTTCATCAACCAGCTGGTCGCAAGGACGTCAATTCCGCGGGTAAAGTGGAAAATGTGGTGTGAATATTTCATATTTAATTGCTTATATCGTGGACAGTATAAAATTGCGCGGTGTTTACTTTGTTGCGGGTAGAGAGGGGTTAATTAGGAATGTACTTGAGCGTCTGGCGATCAGAAAATGCAGGTGTACGTCATGTGACAGGATCCGGGTGTTATCATGTTATTTAAAGTCTAAGGCAAACTTGCAGGAAAAAGTTCACTGCAAGGAACTCACACAAATTATGTGATCCTTGAACATTTCATTAACACTGAAAGATATTCCGGAAGTCTTTTGGATCTAGTGATATTGTTAGATCGCAATACAGATCTTCTAAGAATACTTTTTGTTAAATAAGCTTTACGTTACGTTTGGTACTTTAAGCGAGGATAGTAAATGTCATGTCGGCTCGTCCTTGAGCTATGGCAGTATTATTCATTTCATTCTACTATTATGGAAACAATAACAATCAACCCATCTCTGAAAATGAGTAGATTGAAGATAGTTCAAGTAATTCATCGTGTTTGATGAGAAAAATATGACAACTTTATGATTTCCACAACGCTAACCAGAAAAGGGCGTTTTAATGTTGGGTTTCGTTCAATTAACAATAAACTTTAAGATCATTTTTAATATTTCAAAAGAGACAATCGTTTTAATTATGAGAACACTTTCTGAACTAGACATTTTGCCCAAATTTAACTCAAGATTTCGCCAATGGAGAAAATTTACGTCATTCTCCTCAGTCTGCCTCATTTGCAACATTTCTTCCAGGACAGAAAACAATCTTAGAGGCTTCTTTGCGTTATAAGGATAATCACTTTATTTAATGAAAACTGTACAATATTCCTTAAGCGTTAAACAATTCTATATATAATACATGTATCAACAGAAAATAATTTTTTCTTTAGATATACACACAATTCACATACGAATAAATCCTTACAGGAACCCGAAATTTCCAGGCATTTTCTACGTGAGATTTTCTACGGCAGGTGGCATTTTCTAACAAATGAGAAGATGTTCGAGCAACACTGTTGCCATCTCTTTATGTAGGAGTAACTGATATCTTAGAAATTTATACAAAATAAATTCTACTATCAACCAATAGATTGTACATATCAGATGGTAATCAAGGGATCTCACTAGGTTTCGGTCCTAGTACTTTGGGCAAGTATCTTCTATCAATTAGATCCTCGTTAATCAGTGACTAATCCCATACTACGGAATAATCTTCGGCTTTTAGACTTACTACGTGACTCTAACACCTCTGTAGTTCTTCACTAAGTTATTATTAGTGGTTTTGGTTTAGTGACTTCACGTAACTCTCTCGATTCGCAAAAGTATAAGTACAAAAATGAACTTGAATACATTGCCATGCCATGTATGTTGGACTTAACAGACGTAGATAGTTTTGAATAAGATAAAAAGGCAGTTTAGGAATAGACAATTTTGAATTGAAAAGATTTGTTCCTGCATTAGCTGCTCCAGCAGATGAGTCATATTTATTGTTTGCCACTGACCAACTTGTCATACAGATCAGACGAGTTCCAAGGAGTAACTGAAGCCACTGGGATTTCCTATTACTCATAGTCTAACGGGACTATATACTACGAGTACACACTAAAGATGACTTACCGATTTTTCCATTAGGGCTGTATGGGTCGTAGCTGCCCGAGCTCATAGTGGGAGATGAGTATCCGTTGCTGATGACGGTGTACGGGGGCTGTGCCCCACTGGGCGGCCCAGGCGAGGGGGTGAGCGGGGCGGGGGCCGGGGTACTTGGGGAGGACATCCACTCGTCCACGCGACGTTTGGTGAAGCAGAAGATCTGCACAGAGGACTGACCGGGGTCCTGCGACGGCTCGGACTTGACCATCTCATCAGACAACAACATGGAGCCTCCGCCACTCCGGTACACAGGATCATGTGTCAAGTCCATCCCGCGACCGACACATCACACGTCACACGGACATCTCTGAAACACAACACAACATACATAGCTAAAGTCCCAACACAACATATAGCTAAAGTGCCAACATAACATGCATAGCTAAAGTCCCAACTAGAAATTATCGGATACATTATGACGAAGCCTTTTGGGGAAGGGTTTAATGAAGGCTAAGACAGAATTCCCACGCTCTAAACACAAGATGTAGACGGCCAACAGCAATTCTATTTCCTGGATCGTCGCAGTACAGCTTCAAATCAAAATTACAACATTGAGACAATACTGTAATTGTGAAACAAGTCAAGAGAGAGTAACAAAACTATAAAGCTATATAAAAAACCAAACTAAATGCGTTCGATCCTAACCTAAATAACGTTCAAGGTGACCTTGTAAAACAATACCATGTGATTGTGAACCTTTGGAAATATTGACAAGTATTTCCAAGAAGGACAAGTTAATCCACGTTTAACATTTAATTGTAATTCAGCTGATAGTCAGAACAGTGACTCTAGCGGAAAAGGAACCTCTCACCGGACATTCCCTACATCGCATCACGGCGTCCACCGTTGGTAATGGAGCTCCAGCTGGAGGCGATGACGTAGATTGGTCCACGAGGAATCATGTGATGCCGAACAGTTGGATCATTGTGAGTTGCATTGTAGGAGGAATTATGTAACCAGTCCCGTCTGTGGACACTAGTTTTGAGGACTTGCTGAATATTTTACACAAGGAAATTTTAGACATAATTACGAATGTTAGAGAATAAATCGAGAGATAACTTGAGGTATTTTGATGATCATCAAATAAAATAGAGGTTCTTCATTAGAATACGACGACAGTAAGCATAAGTGTTTACAAATTTATTCCAACCTTTTGTATGGTCTAAACTGATGATTTGGTGTTGTTACAATAATCCTCAGTGATTTTTTTTTTAATATCCCGTATTACTTTGGCCAGGGGGCGTAATATAACATTGCAAAATTATGAAGTAATTGAGATTGACCTCTAGTAAATTGAAAGATCCAAAACGCTTTAGAATAATAACTATAAACGACTGTAATCATTTTTGATTTGTTATTTTTTATTGAAATGTGATTTGCAACTTCTTGGAACACACAGCTCAATAAACAATCAAACTGAAACAATTACTGTCGTTGCAAAGATTCAAAAATCCGTGTAGATGTAGCAGCCATACATCCCAGGGACAACGGAAATCCTGCACCGCTGTGCTACATTTCTCTGTTATTTTTGTTGAGAAACAACAATTTGACTGCGGGTCCGACAGTGTCGTCGGAAAAGTCCAACTTCGGCGGAAATAAAGTTGTCCGGAAACAACACATTACAGGGTGAACGTTTCAGAAAGTTAATTAAATTGCTTAGCACTACCTTAGTGTTCATTTATATACACAAACGTTATATTAAAATAGCCATTATTACTAAATATTAAAATAATTAACTTTTCTTACTTTGTTCGTTATTGCGCGAAAAGCTATGTAGGCTTAAAATATAGATGTGTTATAAACACTAAGGTAAAAGATTAATTAGATCTTTTTGGTGGCGATTTCTAAAAATAATTGGAAAATGTGTTGCCAGGCGAGCGACAAAATCTGCTGATAAACTTCGTTATTGTAAATCTGAAGCTTAGAGGTTTCTGTGCGACTCGTTTGAGTACGTTGAAGTTAACTTCGACTTTCATCAATCTTTTATTTAAAGCTAACATTTATAATTTTCAGTTTGCTCTTTGTTGGGGAAACTAGCAGGTAAAAAAATATACTAATGGATCGTTCTGTGTATCTGTAGCCATTTTAACAAATAAATCCAAACAAATAGAGGACAACGCCACACTCCAACGATACTAAACTTGAAACTATCTTCAGCTGATCCATAATGATGATGCCAAAGGGGGTTCTTCTCTGACTTACTTACCAAGAAACAAAAACGAAAACTGCTGCACCAAATGTACAGTATATATCAAACAATTAACTTACAAAAGGATAACTGTCCGACCAAACCTCACGGTAAACAAATAAAACTACGGAGTAATTTTGAATGTCTTCGACATTATTCGTTATTTTACCCAAAGAATTGACTCGGTGATGAATCGCCTCGCTACGTCGACTACTCAGCAGGGAGCGCAGGTTTGGCAACGCAGACTACGCAACCTCGCGATTTTGGCCGCCAATTCCACCAGACACACTTTCTCTTTTCGCGGCGTCTCGTTAAATGGTAAGCAGTCATTGGTAGACTCGCCGGGTGTCTACACGTGTATTATAGTCTGTATGGTAGGAGCTGTCTCCTGACCGGATCCACCTTGTACTGGCCCAAGCTACCATCGGACAGTCCCTAGGACCAGAGTGTTAGGAGACAGGCCCCATCATACAGACTATAGTGGTGATTGTGCTTCAGGTGTCGAAAATTTGGGATAACTTAAACTCACTCATCATAAATAACCACTACATTCAGAGTAAACCTCGTGTCGTCCCCTATCGTCAAATAATTCCTAAACCAAGTTATTTCGTTAAGTTAGCTCCAGCATACGACACGATTTTCATCGACGTCCATATTCCCCCAAATTTTATAATTTATTGATGTTATCAATTTTGAAAATTCAGAAAAAAGAAAATGTACAAGGATAACTATAATTTCTAGCAAATACATAATATATTTTCCCCAGCGGTTATTTAGTGCGGAATTTCTCCATGGTACCTCATTCAAAGATTCGCAGGTCTAAAATCTTCGTTCTTCGTTAACAACTTGCAAAAAACGTCAGAATACAGAATACTTTATTCATGAGCATCAAGCACAGAATGGTGTCAATACCTTATTAATATTAGTCGTAGTGAGGATAGGACTGTATTGTCTTTTATTCAAGCAAAGTAACGTAAATCAGCATCCGGTATAAAGCATATGTAACACTGGTAATGCTCTTGCAAGATGAAAGTCCCGCGTCAATTTCCCACCCCGACACTTCACCAGATGCGCTTCTCACTATTGCAGCTGTGATCTCTCTTGGTTGTCTATCACATGACTCTGCATAGACACATCTCTTTATTTATGCATATGCATTTATAGTGTATAAGATATGTTGTGCATATAAATGTGTTGTATGTTTGTTATTGACTATGCATTGGTGTAATTACTTGATGCTTAAGCGATTTTAGTATACTGGTCACTGCGAATCCATTTATTAGCATAATAGAGGTATATATAGTCAATGATAGTAGTATGAATATGTTTGAGCTATACACTTGCTATTGAATGAACATTAGTGCATCAGTTTATTCATGATGTTGTATAGTAGTAGTTATGTGTTGTAGTGTATACGAGTTTGTTTAAGCACATGTGCTAAATGTTTGCTATTACAGCGATGGATTTGTTACTTGTTTTAATTTAAAAGTATTTGTTGGTGTATGCGTATTTTCTATGCGTACAGTATTTCTAAAATGTTTTCAGTTTTGTATGCAGTTGATTACAGGTACAAGAAAAACATACACAATTATGTGTACAGTGTTTCTGCTCAGCGATATGAAATTTCGCCCCAAAATTTCGGCGAGTTCTTGAAACGCATTGACATTTCAAGTACGTGAGCAAAGTTTAGTACAGTACAGTATAATAAACAGATTTTAAACATTTGACACGCCTTTTTCATCACACATGTAGATATTTTTTATTTAAATATTTGAATTTCGTACATCATGGACAACCTATCCTTTATCGGACCAATACATTTTCGAGAGACTAGCCCATCCATGATTTGAAACAATATTAAATCTAAAATAAATTCCTTGTTCTTAACAACGAAACTGATCGTAAAATAAACAAAGACAACGAAAATATAATTACGCGCAATATTACAGTAGTCGTGATGCAAACTCACCTCCCCCGGGGGTAAACAACTGTTGTCGTCGAGGTAATTAAAACTGGGGAATCTGTGACGAGGACATCCCAGTGATCAGCTGACTTTATAATGTCAATACAAAATGATTGATGAATAGTGAAATTAATGATGAAACTGTTATAATTTGTATGTCCCACCTTCACATCCTAGGACGTTGGCTCTAGCCTGGAATTGTTTCTGTTGTAATAGTATTTTTTTTAAGGGAGAGGAGGGAAAATGCTTTTACGCACACAGGTTGTAATAGTATTAAGAATATGTTATAACTAGCTGTGTGCCCGTTCTACGCACGGGGATCTTATAGTAGTCAGTTGAATGTGACAAAAGTAAAAAAATGTGTCGGGTTTTTGAACATTTGTAACTTTATTTCTTAAGTAGGTAGGCCTTGTATTCCATGGAAAAGTACCGAATCAAGGATCGTCATCGTAAAGGTTGTTATGAATAGAATAAATAGGTAGGCGTACGTACCCAAGAGATGGGCTATGGGCCTATTGGCTGTATGGTCCAGCGATTGCATCACACGGTGAGTAGAAACAGAAAGTGACACATTGGAAAAGCGAGTTTAGCATCATCCGTATACCTCTATTACTTACAATCACCCACTACAGTTGTGATTTTTATACTTTACACTTTACACAATCGCCATTGAAGCGCCGTCAGTGAGTGGAAACCTTGTTTGTAATCTATTGGCGACGATCATTATAAGTGTCCCAGTCCTATACAACACTGATTCAAGGTCTTCTTTCTGGTTATCAAAACTCAAGAACAATTTCATACACAAATAATCTCTGGTTCCTGACCTGGAAGATGCCTAGTTATTTAATTTCATTTACGGTTACACTATAATATTGCACTTGCGATTAATTGAATCCGTTATGTAAGAAAAACGTTTTTAATCTCACTTTGTTTGGGATTTGCTTTCAAAACGTGATCGGAAATGATTGCGGTATTTGTAAACAACATTTGTAAACATATCAGTGACAGCTAGAAAAAATTATCTTGATCCGAACAGCTGTTCGTTATGTCATAGATGATTTTATGTGATAAAAATTGACCGAAAACTTGGTAAAAATCGCACAAAACTGCATTTTTGAACGTCCGTAATTTTATTTACAAAGTAGTGAGGCCATGT